ATTGGAAAATTTACTGCGTTGATCATTCTTCACTTTCATCTACAACGGCAGTTCAAATATGAATTATTTCATATATACTTCACATCAATATAATTTAGTGATAAATAATTATAATTATAATATTTTTAAATCAGTGGCTTAAATTTATCTTTGATTGAAAATTTTTCAAACCAGTTTGATTTTGTTTTTGAGAACTTTTAAGTCAAAAGTAAATTAAGTTAAAACCAAAGCAAATATATAATTATTATATTTGTAAACAACTAATTATTTTTAAATATTGCTTCAATAATAGGGATAGGGAAATTCAGTTCTTTGAATTATCGACATTTGAGCCTTACTGCCAAATCACTGGCTTAGAGACAACTCCCTTACGAGTTGATTATTGGTAAGTGAACGGAATGGAACCCAACTCTTTGCCCCTTGCTGTCTATGATGCCCTTTTAATGCCTCCTGCAGTAAATCCTACCATATGTCAAGTGGTATCAATGTTGTTTAGATACTTACCTCTAGATATGAACCATAGCTCTGCATATGATACATGTAATAATAATATTGATCTAAGTATATTTCGTAATAGGCATAAAGAGAGTTTTACATTCATGTATGATAAATGTTCATTAGTGTTTTAGTACATGTGGCTTCATGTGGAACACAGAATAATTCCAAATCTTTCTTTCCAGCTCAACAGGACAAGATGAGTGTATTATTCTTTATGGGGACAGTCAGGTATTCATAGTTTTACCATTATGTGTGTATTAAACAAAATAAATGCAATGAACGTATTTTCTAAAATTAATAGTTTCACTATATTAACTTTTTCAGGAAAGAAATATTTAATAAGTAATTACTGTCAGACTATGCTCTTTAATTAATAGCTATTATTTTTTAGTACATGCACTTTACTTCTACTTAGTAGAGATTCCTTTTGTATTAAAAAAATAATATTCAATATAATATTTTATGTTATTTTATTAATATATAATGCATCAATCATCACAATTCATAACAATTTCATTGTTACCATAAAGATTCATAATTTCTGGAATAGATGATTATTTATGATGTGTTGTGTGCACATATCAGTTGGTAAAAAAACATAATGTTCTGTTCATATGTGTATGGTTCAATTGAAATGTAATATTTACTATGCATTAGTTTATTTGATATAATATTATGCAGCCATGCAACATTTTAGCATTTATTGAATGCGAGCTATTTTTTTCTTAGGGATGTGTAAATATATTTATTATGAATTCTGTGGGAGAGACATTAAGGTTTGTTTTATTTTCCACATGTATTCTTAGATAGAAATCTTTATTAAATGAGAATCATTATAACGTATTGGTTAGGGAGAACCATTAAATATGTATTACATTGTACTTAAATATTAATTATTTATTTAATAATTATTTTACAGAGTTAAGGAATTATTCCTTAACTCTGTAAATCACTTTGACATGTTCTTTTTCTCAAAATTTCAAGCCATTGTTTCAAAAAGTACTCTGGAAACTTTTAGCTTTGTTGATTTAATTTTCAGCAATATTTTTGTCCTATTCGCACACATCAACTGAGGTATTGAAAACCTGAGCTTGTACAGGAACACATTTTTGTTTCATCCATTAATTTAGTTAGAAATGTAATAAATACCTTTTGTGGAATTTAAGAACTTTAACATTCTCATTCTTGATTTGCAGAAATTGGAAGAAAATGCCAAAGGTTGAAGGAATAGCTAGTGTAAATATAGATAGGTATGTACAATGATCATTTCATATGATGCATTATAACAATGCTTTAAAACGATATAATTACATTCTGTCTTTATTCATCTATTACAGTGTGACATTCCTTATCGAGGGCTGTCAAATAAACCTCTTCATCACAAGTCAACCAACCGGCAATGGCATATTTGTATAGCTGGGTTTATATGAGAATGTTGTCAAAATTACATACATACATACCTTTGTACGGCACCCCCTTGGGTTCCCTTCCAACATACATTAATTTAAAAAGAAAGCTATTTGCGGACAATAACAACGTAGAAATCATGCTAAGTATTAAGTATGGAAAAGAAAAAGAAAAAAAACTAAACTACAATAGGTACATTACAAGGATAAGAAATATTTACAAATTAAAAAGATCTTTAAAAAATCTCTTTTTAAAAAGGTTCATTAGGTTACAAACTATCAATTTCTCTGAATTCCTTTGGCAAGTTATATGTCTTTGCACCACAACAGGTGACTGACCTTTGGCCAGTCGTTATTCCGCACTTCGGCAACTCAAGGTCGTTTTATTGCCTGGTATTTCTTAGATGCACTTTTGATTGCATCTGAAAACGATCACGAACTCAAGATAGCTTGGAGTTTGGTTGTTCATGCTTTTATGTACCATTACTAAATCGTTAACGAGCACTTCTTTCTAAACTGTGGCTCGTTTATATTCACACGATTGTAATAATACCGTTAGAAGCCATTTACATGTAGTGATGGTTGACAGGGGCATTCAATAATAATTGTATTGTGCATTTTAATCTGTGAGTTCTGTTTTTTTACAGTGTTGTAAATTCTGATAATGCAAGATTTACTTGCATCAGGTAAGCACTTGATTTCTGTTTGTTGTATTAAGTGGTGTTTTTCATGAACGATTGAAAAATTCAGATTGTAGCAGATTTTGTAATGACCATTCATTGCTACGGCAAATATACTAATTTCTTCAGCTGACAATGCAGTGAGGCTGCTGCGATGTGTTATTACAATATTTTTTTTTTCACCTTTTGTTTTTTTTTTAAAATTGCTTTGAAATTAGTTACATCTGTCATGTCCAGAAACTAGACTGAACCAGTTTTGGAATTATTTTTATTGCAATCATTTTTTATTGAAGTGACGTGGTGACTTTGCGTAAAAGAAATGAAAAACTCAAGCTTGAGTTTTGAGTGCTTTTGTCACTCCATCCTTTAGGTGGAAGGTTCATGCAGACTGGGTCTCGCAGCTCAAGTATTATGACTCTTTGAGAGCAGTCATCTCTTGTTCTAATCACCCAGACACTGCCTTGGTTATCGGTAAGTTATGTTACGATGGTTGATAAAGTTTTCCTCTCTGTTGACATAATAATTTCGCTAAAAGAGGTAAAATAATATTATGTACAAGGCTAAAAACTATAGACAAAAAGTTATTAATAGAGTGAACAGTTTCGAGTTATTGTCACTATCAGGGTGAAAGCCGTCTGCGGTTATGCACAGTTTTATACTTACGTTATTCCGGCCCGCAGTTGTTCCCTTGGTATTCTAAGCTGCGTCACGGTTTTTGCATCTTGAAAAGTTTAAACCTCAACTTTTCAAGTTCGTCGTTTGTAATCCGTGTCAATCTCCTCCATCCTCAACCATCCTTGTTCCTTTGTGGTTTAGTATTATCTTTCTGGTGTTTTTCTGCCTTGTAAACTACTATTTTTAGGTTTCCTTCAATATAACAGTAATTTTGTCCGTGGCCAAATTAACTAAAAATACCGTGACTGAGCTCCTTTAAGCTTCATTTTCATGTTGTTCTACTTCTCAGGTCATACAATGGGCAGTACACATGTAGAATCACAACTTCGAGATCCCACGGGTGCCTCAAAGAAAGTGCAAAACTCAACTGCTCGTGATATGCAACCGAGGCGGCGTATGGACAGTGATCAAACTGTGTTTAAAGTGTACAAAGGAGTCAAGACTTTCGACTTTTGCAAAGAAAAGAACGTGATTGTAACTGGAGGTGAGATTATATTTTGTCTGATTCGATAGGCAACCAAGAGAAACGTAGATGCAAATAGCATCCGTCGGTTTCTACATTCACTGTTCTTTTGATGCAAGCTCTGTAATGTTGCGGCGCAATGTTCCAGTATTGATTGGCGTTTTACTGGAAGCAACTTGCAACTTTCAATTCAAATTTACTTGAGCAAGTTGCCCGCCCCCTCAGGTAACCCTCCCAGGACGCGTAAATGCAGGATTGGCCTCAAATTTAGCCCCGTTAAAAAGAGTTGGAGTAGATAGAGGCAAGAACGGGTCGTTAATTGTGTTGCTAAAAAAGACGCAAGCCCTACACCTTTAATCTGCGGTTGAAGTCTAGATGTAGTAAACTAACTATGGACCACTGTATTTAGAACTCAGTTAAACGGTTGTTTTCTCACAGGAATGGATAGGCTTGTCCGGTTATGGAATCCTTATGTTCCAGGGTATGTAATTAGATACTCAAGCGTTATGAATTGTGCGTACTAGTTCAAGTTTATAGGAACCGTTTTGTTCGTGCAAGTTGAACCCCTACAAAACGTGCCGTGATTTACATGTAGTGCAACTGAAGCGTAATCAATTTGCGAAATATCTTTTCTAGAACTTTAACAGAAAGTAGAAGAAGAAATGCATTTCAAATGCACTGAAATCCTCATTTTCTTCCAAAATGGAAATAGGTACTGATGGCCAAGGCATTTTTTCACTTATTTTCGAAAGCCTACTTTGTTTTGCGATTCAGATTCATTACGTTTTGTCTCCTCACTGTCTATAATGTGATATTTTTGGCCGAGGCTCACTGAGGTTCCGTCCACACTATACCGGAGAAATTTGAAAACCTTTTTTTCATTCTGAAAACGCATCAAATGTTTTCCTTCCACACTAAGTCGGAGAAATTTGAAAATGCAACAAATCACCGGTCATTTTGGATTTGTGTTTGAGGAAAACTCGGGCAGGGACATCACGTGATTATCGTGACGTCATCGTTTTAGGAAAGCTTGTTTTCAAAATGTTTCCGTTCTCACGAAAACGCCGAAAAGCCGGCGTTTTCCAAATTCCTCCGGTTTCAAGAGCGTTTTCGAAAAGCTCGGTTTTGGTAACGGATTAGTGTGGACGGTAAGCATAACCGGAGAAATAATGCTGCATTTTCAAATTTCTTCGGCGTAGTGTGGACAAGGCCTGAACCACGGCCTGGTAATATATATAATGTTTGTGGTAAAAATGTTTTCATCCGAGATAATGACTCTTTTTTTCCTTTTTTTCAGTAAACCTACGGGTCTTCTCAGGGGACACACAGCGCCAATATTTCATTTATTTATTTGTCCTGAGGACGACAGAATATTCAGTGTAGCTACGGACAAAACAGTCAAGGTATGCCGGGGTATAAGGGTATAAGGGGTAATAAAGGAGACTAATGAAACGGCAGTATTCCGTGGAATGTTTATGTGTGGTAGTTCCTCGAGAAAACTTGAAAATGTGCATCAGAATGTTTTCGTTTTTGATTAATGAGAGGTTTAGATCAAAAGATGCTGAGTTTATTTATGGGAGGTCAACTGATTGCTTTTAGCTAATCACTCCGTTTGAAGTTGTTTTCTTGTGTACTCTAAAACCTCGTGCGAGATTGAAAGAGTCTTCAAATACCACTCGTAGAGAAAATCCTTAATTGCCCTCGTATTTAGACGATTATTAAATAATATTATTTGATGATATCCGATATCCAAATATTTGAAGCCAAATCTTGTTGTGAAATCATGAGAAATATCTCTGGTAACAATTCTCTTTGAATTAACACATAGGTGTGGGATCTTCACGATCACACGTGCTTACTGACTGTCCGTCCCAAGGCACATAAGATCAGAGGCGACCTGGCTGGTAAGTTCTCCAAACACACTTGAAAGAGGTTGAGATATAATTGTCATCTAACTAATAAACATACAGTCAACACAAAATATTTTGAAAACAAATTACGGAAAATTTTTTAGCGATAAAGAAAAACTGTGGAATTGTAGACATGTCAGTCATTGTGAATTTTCGCCGTATACCGTGATTTTGGATAGAATACAGTTATCCCCTTTGTTACACAACCTAAGAATTATTGTTTTCTGATTGTGGGGGTAACGTATGATGTCATAGGAGCTAATTATGACGTCATAAGATTCAAAATGCGGTTCGTGGTAGATTCCAAATAACTCAAAATGGCTGTTATTTTTCCTAATTTTTCCGAACAATTTTTAGTTTTAACTAAGACGGTAACATTTCTAAGAATTTAACAACGACTTGTTTCTAGATTAAAATACATCGACTCTTGGCAGGAAAACTATTGTCACTGTCTAGTAAATACTTTTCCCTTAAGCTGGATTTGACTGTAAGATAAGGGGATTTTTTAAATCAATTTCTTCGTTTCCGTTCTTTGCAGCCATTCATTACAACTACTCTAGTAGAGGCCTTGCTGTTGCTACATCCGAACAAATAGCTCTTCTACCACTCAAGAGCAGGTAAGAGAAAAGTTCTCTGGTAAAGTCTGTGTCGGACCAAGTGGCGCACACAGCCGGAGCTTATCCCGATTTCTGTAGCATTAAAAGAGTTCAGTCACAGCATTCTAAGTTATTTTGGCCACGTACTAAATTACCTTTAAATATAAAAAAACTGAAAATAGTAGCTTACTAGGATAGAAAAACACCAAAGAGATTATAATAAACCATAAAGGAGCAAGGATGGTTAAAGATTGAGAAGATTAACACGGATTACGAACGACAAACTTGAAAACTTTAGGCTAGTAAACTTTTCAAAAAGCGCAAACCTTGATGTAGTTCCTTTTAAAGTAACTAGTAGTATATCTTTCTCCCCCTGGATGCGATGCTAGTCCCTCGTAAGGCTACCCTTAGCATTAAATTTAGCGGTACCCATTTATACACATGCAATTTGCTATTTGATTTTGGGATTAGCCAGGTTATAGCGCAACATAGAGACCCCAGAACAAAGCGCACTCCTGAGACGTTTGTTGTTTTACTAATCCGAACAAATATAAAATAGCAACAGTGTCATGTGTGTAAGCAATAAAGAGGAGAGTTAAACTTGTAAATGAGCGTGGAATAGGATGCGGTTTCATTTTGAACAAATGACGGTTTGGTACGAAAAGCCAAGCAGGAATAACCTACGTTGTTTGGTGGCCAGTTTGCAACCTTTTTATTACAATATTATCTCGCACGTAATGGATATCTTCATTTCAGGAATTCATCAAAGGACATGATAACAACTCATAAGGAGCCAGTCATGTGTGTGAGGTACAACAAAAGCTTTAAACATGTCGTCACTGCCTCGGAAAGCTCGGTAAGTTGGAAGCAAATCGTATTCTGTTCTTGTTTGCTTTCCCCAAAAAGTGATCCTTGTTTTTAATGCCTAAAATGCAATGCGCGGGGATTGGGAAAGAGGGGGCGGGTGGAGTCTGGGGTAAAGCAGTCCCCAGTCCCCGTGTATAAGCTGCAAACTGCTGTCCTAGAATCATTCGTTTACTGATGAAACGAACTTGTTTCACTCGTTTGCAGGTGATAAAAGTGTGGGATTTGGAAACGGGACGTTCGGTGTTTGAATTCTCTCAAGCTCATGGAGATCATGCCGTCACTTGTATGAGCTTTGACTCTACAGAGAGAAGGTGAGAAAATATTTTTCTGGGAACAATAACATTTTTTCAGTTGTTTGCGTCATATTTCCTCGAGATGAAGCCTGTTCAGTTGTCTTCCTTTTTCAGATCTGCAAACATACCCTCGCTCGCCGTAGACTTACTGTTTTATAATCTAGCTTTGTTTTCTTTTCAGATTAATTACAGGCGGTAGAGATGGCAGGCTAAGAATATGGAACTACAACAATGGACACTGCCTCAGAACACTTGAAAAAAGTAAGATTTTCTCATTTCATAAATGATGCGTTGATGTACAGTGGGAATATTCAAGATAACGTTCAGTTTTTCACGAGTTCAATTCAGTCTTTCATCTTATACCGTGCATTTACCAAACGATAAAATGTCTGGCTGACTGCTGACGTCTTAATGATTGTAGTATTTATTTTTCTCTTTGCATTTCGTGGCCAATCATATGTGACCACTTTGATTTGTCCTCCTCTCTTGCATTGAGGTAGTTGGCTTATTAATTAGCTGAATAAACAAAGTCGTTGGAGAAATCAAGGGGTATACTGTCGCTTCCATCTAAGCGTGGACACGTGACGCCGAAACATGCTCTAATTGGGTGTCAAACGTGGCATGATTGGTCATCAAACATTTGAAGTTTTGCGGACCGTAAAGCGAACTTGAAACCGGGATAAGCTCCGGCCTGATGGGCCACTTGGCTCAAAGTTCAGAACACGAAATGGTGAAAGATTGAACATTAAAGATTTCTTCAGAGAAATTGACCCTGACCTGTGTCAATATGCATACGCCTTTCGCGAGAGTGGTTTTACTTCTGGTATAACCATGAAATATTGCCTGGAGTAAGACTTTCAGAGTCTATCAGAGCGCGAAAGTTCGCGTTACGGTCTCCTGAATTTCAAATGTTTGATGACCAATCATGCCATGTTTGACACCCAATTAGAGTATGTTTCGGCGTCAGGTGTCCACGTTTAGATACAAGCGACGGTACAATACTTGCCTAACTTACGTTAAGTGTTGCTGTATTGGGGTAGCAACTTTTACCAAATTTCATCAATCTTCCTCCCGTTGGTTTTTTCAGAGAGCGATGTTGACGAAGTAGCAGATTTAACCTACCTGGTCTTAAATAAAAACAGGTTAAGTATATGTAGATAATTATATTAACTCACTTACTGTTCAACTGTTTGTTTGAGCTTTGGCATGTTTGAAATGTTCTTTGACATGCGCAATCAGTGTACAAAAGTTAACAAGAAGCTATCATTTCTTTGGAATTCCAGATATAGCATCAAAGATAATTATACCACCTCGATTATCGATTAACTTTTGGTTTCAGCTTTGGCATGTTTGAAATGGTCTTTGGCATGAGAACAATCAGTGTACAAAAATTAACAAGAAGTTTTCATTTCTTTGAAATTGCAGATATATCATCTCTGTAGGCTGGGACAGAAGAATTAACTTATTTTCTGTGAGTAACTTCCCTTGAAATTTTATTCCTTGCATTATGTCTGTCTGGTGAGAGGTCTGACACCCTTGTGTTGTGTTCTTGGACAAGATACTTTGGTATAGACGAACTGTTAAGGAAAACCTGACAAAATAGGGCGGGGAAGCCCTGAAGTGCGCATCAGTTAGGTCTGCATACGAGCCAAATGGCTCATCAGGTCGGAGCTTATCCCGGTTTCTGTAGCATGAAGCGACTAGGAGTATTTCTACTCCCCCCTGGATGGGATGCTAGTCCATCGCAGGGTTACCCCCAGCATTAAGTTCGCCGGTACNCGCGCGATCCGGAGACGAGCGCACTAACCATTAGGCCACCGCGCTTTATCGGGGTGGGGGGAGTACAAAGACTCCAAGCGGCTTCACGCAAACGCGGGAGTGCTTCCTGAGCAGGAGTACGAGACTTATGTTCGTCACTTATTTGTTTCTTGTATGAGCTAATGATGTTGTTGTCTTTTCTTGTAGGATGATAATGAAGATTTTCATCACGTTCAACACCCTTATGCTTACTGGAAAGACGACCTGGTAAGGAAAGAGACATCACAGACACTTGCAACATATTGTTATTGTTTGTCAGAAAAGCGTCAGTTATTGAATTAAGGTCATGATGTTGTTACTAACTGCCATTTCCCGTAAACGATGCTTTCATTTTTTCTCAGGCTGTCTCGGTTCTGTATACAATCCTCGACCGCCTTAAGAAAGTTTTATAAGTGAAGCTTTTCTTTGTTGATTCAGGTCAACGGACATAAGGAGGACATCTTGTCGATAGCAGTCAGTCCACCAAACCTTCTGGCAACATCAAGTTATGATGGAGAGGTACGGTACTACAGTTTCCCAATTGTTTTAACTTTGGTCTTTCTTTTCTTTGGCCTAATTGAGAATTGAAGGACTCACAACGTAAGCTAACTATTGTCATACGAAAACCTCACCACTCTTTCTGGCTGTTTGATGAAGTGAGACCAGTTAGTCACAAACTCGTACTTCGTGAAACTATTGGCATTTTGAGTAGCTGGATTTCAAGTGTTTTGCCATTAGATCGTATTAGACTGAAAAGTAATTACACCTTCTCTGTTTCTTTGTAGATAATCATCTGGAATCAGATTTCAGGCCATATCTTCTGCCACATACATTCACCCCGTGCTTCCAGAGAGAACGGGGAGATTTCCTCGCGAGATCGTAAGTGCTCGTGATTTTGTCCAGATTACAGAAAGTTAAATTGCCCCGCGTGGCTTGTGGTCATCTCCAACCCCAAAATAATTCCTTAAATTTGTGTTTTCATATTAAACTGGCTTCTTTTTCTGTCCTTTTGTTCCCAGTGGATGGTGGAAATGCCATTGGTAAGATTTTATTCTTGAAAGCAAGAGCCATGAAGAAAGATGCCGCCACCTTGGTGGCCAGCGGACCACAAGGTACTGTGTGTAGTATTATACACCAATGGTCTCTATTCATTCATTCATTCATTCATTCACTCTTTGAGGCGATCTGCATTTGGAAAGTACTTCATCATTAGCTAAATGAACTCCTAGACAAACTATGCCCCTTATAATAATGAATATTGATAGTGACAAAAAAGGTACAGATTAACGAGAAGAATAAAATAACTACGCTGGCAGTTTTCTATCACAGTGGCACGTTAACCGTCATCTTTGTTAATTCGTATCAAACAACGCTTCTGTGAGCATGTAACATTTATGTCCTAGAGAACCAGAACGATCAATCTGTACCAAGTATAATTTGGATGTAATTTTTTTTTCTAAAATACAATCTTCTGTTATAGGTCTGGTTCATTTCTGGAATATCTACACAGGCGGAACTCTTTATGCTACGTTTTGTCCAGTATGTAGACCATTTCTGTCTTTATTTCATTTGTGATATACTAATTAAATAGACAAGCATTCAATCAAGTAGACAGCAACGATTTTTCTTCTTATCTTTGTTGTTGTTGTTGTTTACAGTCCAGGAATGGTGTAACAACCATGACGTCAGTTGCCAAGGATACCAGACTGGTCACCGCTGATTCGGCAGGTTTGTTTTTTTTTGTTGTTGTTGTTGTTGTTGTTGTTGTTGTTTTTGTTGTTGCTTTCTTTTGTTCAGCTGTAGTTGACGATGATGATGATGATGTTGCTGTGTATTTGACACAAGTATAAAATCATAGAAATGTTCAAGTTAAGTGAAGTCTGTTTTTCATTGCCCAACAGCACAGCGCCGTGTGGATTTATAGCGTTTATTTATTACATTTCTGTAACATTCTATTTATTTAGGTTTCATCTCCATCTGGGATGTAGAAGATTACTGCATGAAGACAAAAACAACTGAACCTCCAGAACGTGAGTGTAATGTTCTGTTGAAAAATATTGAAATATTGTTTATAGTTCTAAGGCATTCTACTTAAACTGAAAGAGAGAAATTATTCAACTAAACATAACAGGCTTAAAAATCCCCACTGGCGGGAGGCAGACCAGTTGGCTATTTACAAGCATGACTGAGGAGTCGAACTACGGTCTACAGAGAAATAACTCCAGCTATAAGTGGTCAAAGCGGGACTTAAACCCGTGTCCGGCGCCACTCGGCCACCCTGCTGCTAATAACTATGAAAGGCTTGCAGTGAAGGAAGTTTTTGTAACATGATGTATTTTTATGCTTTGTAACCTTGGCGAAAACCTCCATGGAATGCAATGTTTGTCTTTCAGGTTTGTTTTTCTGGCGTGCCCATGTGCAGAGTATTACAAGGTAATTTCACGCTTCTTGCTTCATCAAATGTTACAGTGTAGGATTTTACAACCCCTGGACAGACACTGCATGAAACTGCGCGGTACTCAGTTTGCTTTTTGGAAAGTGAACAAGTTTAATCGTTACCAATGCTTATGGAATTTTTTTTTCTGTTTTTCAGTATTGAGCCAGTAGATATTTGGAATTGTGAAATTCTCCTGACAGCTTCTTTAGACTGTACCGTCAGACTCTGGACCATGGAAGGACATTTTGTTGGTACGTCTATTCGAGGGGATTTTTTAACTGAGAAAAACTGTTTTGTCGCCTCGCGTGTTACAGGAAGACAGAATTTTATCGAGTTTATCTGTTATAGTTTTGTTCTTCACAGTATAGGCAAAATTCAGAGTTACTGTGTACCTCCCAGAATTTTGCAAGTTTGTTTAGCAATACACCTTCTTGAATGGAACGACGCAGGTAGAGAGAGCGGAGTCTTGCATATGCAAGAAAACAGCAGAATGACGCACTCGAACCGAACCAGTCGATCCGAAATCCAATGCACTAGCAATTAGGCCTCCGCGGCCATACTCGATGTAGTATGCATATATGAAACCAACGATGTCATTGATAACACTTTCAACTTTTCTGTTTTCTAAAGGAACTCTTGGTCAACCTAAAATCTGGGACATTAGGAACCCGGTATCTTATCAACACCCCATGGCTCCGTATGATGTGTTGGTGGACCCCCATACTCTGCCAAATCTTCCCAAGAAATATAAACATGAAGAAACAGCGCCAGATGACACTAACGATACTGACATAGAAAATGAGGTAAGTAACTAGAAAAATGACTAACATAATTTCCGAGAAATTTTGCTTGTCGAAGCCAAGAAAGTATGATTACCAAACATCAGTTGATCAAGATAAACCTCATTCTTTTGCATTACTTTCAACACTAATTTACACAGTCACACGTTCACAAAACTTCTTTCATCGAAGACTTTGTCAGTTGATCGTTATTGCTATGTAAAGGACATTTTTCTTACTCATAACGTAACGTCAAGTCGGTGTATTATAGTTTGTTTTTTGTTTTTGCTCGTTAAAGTTCTCTTCCCACAGTGAGATCTGACAAATAAAATGCCAAATCGAGTTTTATGTTTATGCTTATTGCAGTTGGACTCCCCAATTCCGTATGTTCCAAGTTTTCAAGCAAAGGATTCGCTGGTGTAAGTAAACTAAGATTATGTTGCGGGAGTTAGAAAATATAATCTTAGGCCATGTCCACACTACGCCGAAAGAATTTGAAAACGGAGGTTTCACTTTGAAAACACATCGAATGTTTTCCGTCCACACTACACAGGAGAAATTTGAAAACGGAACAATCACCGGTCATTTTGCATTTGTGTTTGAGGAAAACTTGCGCAGGGGAATATCTTGACTATCGTAACGACGTCGTTTTCGAAAAGCTTCGTTTTCTAAATGTTTTCCGCCCACACTAAAACGAAAAGCCGGCGTTTTTCAAATTCCTCCGGTTTGAAGAGCGTTTTCGAAAAGCTCCATTTTCGTGACGGATTAGTATGGACGGTAGGCCTAACCGGAGAAATAAAACTGCGTTTTCAAATTCCTCCGGCGTAGTGCGAACGCGGCCTAAAGCGAAAGACCATATCGTCCATTTCAGTTATGTGTACAAAGAGGATAATGAATTGAAAATAAAAAGTGAAAAAGCGCGTTGTGCGAAGGGTTATGTAAATACAAGATGGCCTGGTATGTCACGAGTGAGCAACCTTCAAATTAAAAAGATTGGTAGCACGTTAGCTTTATTGGTAAGGTTAATTTTAGCTTTTATTCCTTTTGCTTCTTTTGTCACCAAATTTGTTTACATATCTTTGATATTGGGGTCTTTCAATTTTAGCCTTTATTCCTAATGCTTCTTTTGTCACTAAATTTGTGTACGTATTTTTTGTATTGGGGTCTTTCAATTTTAGACTTTATTCCTAATGCTTCTTTTGTCCCTAAATTTATTTTCTATATTGGGGTGGTCCATTTTTAGAATTGACGAAAAAGATATTGCGGCAGAGTTGAAGAAGTCGCCTTGGAGGGAGGGATGTGGAAAAAGGTGAGAACTGAAGTAAATAAGAGAGATATAAAACATATTTGTTTACATACACAAGGAGCAAAATAAGTGAGGCTGTGCGGAATGGAAATCATTAAACTCAGTCAAATGAGTAATAGCAATTCTTATTTTCTAAAATTAAAATTTAGTGGATACTTAAGGAGAGTGAATGAAACTCGTGTAGAGAAAATCCATCTTGGTTCCAAACTTCAGTTTCTTCCAGTCAGTGGGCCAATTCCGAGTTACCTTCTGCCTCTGTTTCAAAAGGATTCCTCGTGCAAAACATTTCTCACGAAAATAAGTTTGATTTGCATGAAACGTATTTTCATAACAATGGTTGCGCAGGAACACTCGTTTTGACACATAGGCAAAGGGCAAGCCGGAAATGGCTTATTAAGGAAGTATGACTAGAAAGGTTAGTTTCATTGTACAACGTTTCATTGTTTGCTTACTATTGCAGATTACGCCACGAGAGGCTCAAGAAAGTTCCTAGAGATATGGGCGGACCAAATGCCTATCAAACGTTGACATGCTTTGAGCTGGAAGACACGCCTCCTCTGCCCAACCCCCCCTCGTCCTCGTCCATCGATGATCCGTTTGATATTAGAATATAAAAAAGTATTTTCAAATAGTGGGACAGTGATGCTAAACGTCTAGTTTGTGTCTCTAAAAGCACAATTTTTTCAAGACCGAGAAGTGTTTTGGAGATGTATTAGAGAATTACAGTAAAAACAATATGCGAAATGGGACGGGATAACTTCAGATTAAATTGACTTACACTTTGCTTTACTTTAAGAATTTCTGTCCCACGATCTATGGCCTATACCCGTCTAACTATAATTCAAAAAATAATATCGACCTTGAAATGTTATTTATTTATTTATTTTAAAAAAATGGCACGGAACTCTGAACTGGAATATATGGTTGCCTCTGTTTTGCGAAGAGTTTGAGCACCAATGTAGAAGTGTTTTGCCGCGGCTTACCAAAATGTCTGAAATAACTCAAACTTTGCTATTTAAAAGAATTTAAACTTTTCTCTCTTTCTGATACGAAGTAAATGAACAGTGCAGCACTTTTACAACAGAGTAAGGTTCTAAGCTTCGCGTCTAAACGATATACAGAGATTATACGAGTTTGGTAGTTTAACAAGGTAAAGAGGGTCTTAATTTTGTGGTTAATATATATAAAAAGTGGTCTTAAATGTCTGGCCTAAAGAGTGATACAGTGATATAGACGAAAATGTTGAAAATCAGTAGGGTGGGTGTTGACTAAATCTTTATTGAACGTGGAGCCAAAAATTGTAGGTCTACATGTATTTATTCTTTAAGCAGGCAATGTTTGTATTTCTTATTTCACAGTCTAAATATTTATTTCGATCAAGCCTTTTTTCAGTGAAAGAAATGAGATGTTTTGTAATAGAGCAACTGGTATGGAATATGTTGTAAATAGAGTGAGTGTGAATATGACGGTGGCTCCGCCAAATGTTTGTAAAATCGTCTCATTGAAAGTGAGGAATAAATCGACTCTTTCCAAGAACTGTTGCCAGACCTGTTTGATTAATAAGATTAATAATGATAATCATCATCATCATCATCATCATCATCATCATCTAATAATAATAATAATAATAACGAAAATAATAGTAATAATAATAATAATAGTAATAATAATAGTTCATTTATATTACTCCAATGTTTGTTTGTTTGGTGGTTAATTTATTTGTTTTTGTAGTGCCCTGTGTGTTTTCGGTTTTAAAAGGAAGGTTTTACTGTAAGGCTAAAAGTTTAGCGAACGAAATGAACTCTCCATGCCCATGTACAGTTAAACCTTGCATCTGTTTACGCCCTCTCTCGACGTCGAAGTCGCCCAGTCTTCACCCCCGAGGGGGGGGGGGGGG